CACTGGAGAGAGAGAGTTACAAATCATCTATTAGGGATGGGTACATTCACTTTTGAATCGATTCGGTACCAATTCCGATAGCTAGGAATCGATACCGGTACTTAATGGTACAAATTTTCAATACTTTTGAGTGTTTAATAATCAATTATCTTTAATATATATTTTTTTCTCAATATACTGTATATAACCATATTTGGTAACTATCATGATAAATACAACAGTTCATATTTTATCATCGGAGTGTTGTACTAAATTCTTCAACATGAACCTTTAACCACAACGGTTTCTAAATGATACCAAAACTAAAACCCAGCTCCTTGTACTCCCAATCCTCTTCTACGCCCTCTGGAATAACTCTGAGGAGGAGACCATGTATTTTAAACTACAAAGGAAACTTAAAACAAACGTTGAAACCATTCAGCTGTTTGTATTTTAATAATGTTGTGTTTCACAAACTAAACCCAGCTCCATGGACTCCTTTTCCTCTCCTTTCCCCTCTGGACAAACTGTGATGGTGGGTCCTTGTAGTTTTATAAACTGTAAATAAAACTGTAGCAAACATCTCTGCTAAGAACGAAATGTACTTCTTTGTTCCTTTTGCTGTTTATTTTAATTAACAGTTGACTTTTCCTAATCGGAATTTTTGAGTTCAGAGGAGGAAGCGAACGCACCATTAGCTGATGGCAACGGAGGCTAAAGTATCCAGCTAATGTTATCTTAAACAGTCTATTTACCTGCTGGAGCAGATTAAGATGATGATGATTGTTAGATTGTTGTCGACGTCATCACCCAGTCACCCATTGCATTTAGTGAAGTAGACTCAAACTTCAGAGTTCTTTCTATCATGCTGCTTTCTCTGCTTACATTGACGACATCCATCTTGGGAAATCTGGTACTGAACGCTAGTGTGTATGTGGCAAAAAGTACCATTTCATATCACGTGAATGTCCTTGGTCGGTGCCTTAAAAAGTACTGAATACGGTACCCATCCCCATCATCCATGCAAGCAAAGTTAACCCAAATGAACAAACAGATTTGTTTTTGACAACTTTGCCCCTGCAGGGAGTGATTTAGGAGAACTATGAGCCCAACAGAAGTTACAGAAGGGTACCTCTTTCCTGGTGGCACAAGTATGCTGTCCAGGGCCATGACCTGCTGAACTCCCCGTGTGTCTCGGTAAATCCTCTGAGCTGCCTCCGTCGTTCTGGTGATGATGCAGTCCATGTCTCCCACCAAATGCCAGGAGATGACCCTCGCAGCATCATCGTCCAAAATGAGGGCCAGATGACCAACCTTCAGGGGGAAAAAAACAAACTAAAAGATTTAAACATATGCCTCTTAAAGAAGAGAATATTTGTATAGTTTTGAAATTTGGCATCACCATTCCGAGAACATCCGGCCCGCCGAATTTATTAGTGACGGAGAACTTTCTCCTTGGCACCCTTTCAATAGTTTCAGCTTCAATCGTTTTGTCTCTGATCAGTTTGTCAATATCTGAGCTCTGCAACGAGTTAGGACATCCCGTTTTTAGGAAGAAAAAAAAAAGAGCGAAGAACGAATAAAAAATTCCAGAACTTACAGGTAAAGGATGTGAAATGTCCAAGTTTCTTTTGCTCATCTCTACTCTGAGGGTGGTTTCTTTCTCAGCAATGTCCTGGAGCTGAACTAGTGTGGAGAAAAGGAGAAACGGATTTTAAACACTCAGGACATTCACTTGTCAACATCCAGAAATAACACTCACTTGTGAGTCCTTTTCGGAGTTCGCAAAACGTAGAACACATGGCGTCGTATTTTTCAATGGAGTTTTTCAGTTCGTCCCTCTTCCTCGACAGTTCAGACATTCTTCTCTGATTCTCAGCATCTAAATTTACAAAAGGAAAAGTCCAATATGATTTCAGATCACAGCTTAAAGCTTCTTGTCTACACATAGTTAGTGTAACGCAGAGTAAAATGTACCGTTGTAAAAATGGAAAAGAAGCTCAAAAGGAAGCAGGGACGTAGGAAGATTCAGCCCTGTGGGTTTGAAGATGAGGTTGTATCTGCTGCCGTTCTCACCAGGACTGTTCTCCATTATCACCAGCCTCTGAAAACAGGATTATTATCTAATGTTGCACTTAATAAAAACAATCTGTATCCTTTGAGGAAGGTAACTCACAGAGATGTGGGCCCTTCCTTCCTCTAAGTTAATCTGAAAGCTGCTCGTTTTGTCTTCAAACAGCGGGAGACATCTGCTACTTTCTCCATCAGGACATCCTATGGAGACCACCACCTTCCCGCTCAGCTCCTGTCCAGCTGGATTACCAAACGAATCCTGGAATGAATCCAAACAACTCACTCAATAGCTGTTCCTAATTACTAGCATTAAAAGGAACACCTGAGGAGCACAACTCACCTTTATCACCAGAGTCATGTCCTTCACCAGGATTCTGCTGGAGATGTCCGAACTGTTGGAGACGACTGGGGTTGTTGGCTGGACCAATGGTCCCAGTTTGACAGGCAGACTGGCCACTACATTTATGGTGATCTAGGAGATAAAAACACAGACGTCAGCTCTGACTGTGACCTACAACCTTGAAACAATGAATAAAAAATCCATAATTTTAGATGGACAATATAACAATAACATCTATACAGTTTTCCAGGCATCTCCTCCAGAATAAGGTGTCATATAGCACCTGTAATTATGGGCTCTTACTGAGGAATAACAGATCACACAACAGTATTTAAAAATGTCAAGATGATTTCCCAAAACATGAGCAACCCACACAGAGATGGAAAATTGCAGAAAGAACCGTTTTGGTCCTACAGTGTGTCCAACCACATGGCAAAAATGACACACAGCTGATTTCACACACAAACATTCCCTAATCAAACCTTCCTCTGGAGCAAACAACAACGGTAGTGTTTTCTCGCCTGGACGCAAGTCACCAGGGCCTCCCTCTGGGGCCCAGCCTGGAGGTGGGGCATGTTGGCGAGCACAGCCTGAAGAGGAGACGTTGGTCCCCCTTCCCATGGTCTCACTGCTCATGGGAGGGGCCAAAGGGGACTCCAGAGGCAGCCGATATTTACCGGAATTCCGAGCAGAATGTGGCTCGGGTGGTCACGGAGGAAAAAACCCAGGCATGGGAGGAGTTCAGTGAAGACATGATGCAAGATTATGTATGGCTTCAAGGACATTTTGCTCAATCATCTGGCATGTTAGGAAGGGAAAGCGGTGCACCACCAGTACTGTTTATGGTGGGGAAGGTGTGCCGCTGACCTCGGCTCGGGACATTTTGAATTGGTGAGTGAAGTACTTGGAAGACCTCCTCAATCCCACCGGCATGTCTTCCAATGAGGAAGAGGAGTCTTGCCACTTTGGGTCGCTCTCTCCAATCTCTAGTCCTGAGGTCACTTAGGTGGTCAAAAAGCTCCTCAGTAGCAAGGCCCCAGTGGTGGATGAGATCTGCCTGGAGTTTAAGGCTCAGCACTTTGTGGGGCTGTGTTTGTTGAGAATGCTCTGCAATAATGCGTGGACATGAGGGGCAGTTCCACTGGATTGGCAGACTGGATTGGTGGTACCACTATTTAAGAAGGGGGATTGCAAAGTGTGTTCCAACTACAGGGAGATCACACTCCTGAGCAGTGAGAATCAGGTCCCAAATCTGTGTTATCATCTTGCTGTGTGAACCGACCTTAGAGCTGGGTGGCAGTAGCAGAGGAGTTAAGTGCCTGCCCATAACTAGAGGGTTGCAGGTCTGTCACAGTTTTTGTGTACTTGGGAAGACACTTCACCGGCCTCGTTTGCCGGTGGTGGTTGGAGGGACAGGTGGCTCCTGAGTTCGGCAGCCTTGCTTCAGTCAGCGTGCCCAACATAATCCATTTACCATTTAAAACAAGCTTGGATTCTGTCATGTTGACACGCTTCTACTCACACGTCTGAGCTACATTACATTAGATCTGTTAATGAGCAGAGGGCCATTAATGCCAAGAAATAAATGATTTAAAATTATTCCCTTTTGCAAAAAAACATAATTAAAGAGATAGCAGATTCTCCTCATATATAAACACTTCTCCCACCACGCTTTACTGGTGGTATAAATGATTTCTTTTTCTCCCCTCAGTGTCATTCATAACACATTTTCCCCTTTTCTCATCATTAAATAATTCTAAGGCACATGTATGAAACTAGATGACAGACTGTTTCTCTGAGATTTACTTCCTTCTTTGTTATCCATGTTTGTGTTCCTCATAGAAACGTGGAAGCAGCCTCTAAACTAACCTGGCTACTGAGAAGAACTTCTTTTTTGTCAACACAAAGAGAAAACTGAATGGTGTACTTCCCGACATGTTCTGGGATCAGTTTATCTCTGCAAGGAAAAACAGACAGATTAGTTGTGGAAACATTATAAAATAACAGAACTTTAGGGAAATTCACTTTTAATCTTGATAAAACAGAAGAAATTTCCCTTTTATGCAGGCTATAACACAATAATGCGATACTAAAAGCAAAATGATATTACAATTTGTAAGACTGAATTTAATCAAATATTCTGGCCAAACGCTTCCAAGACACATTTAGTGATAATGCAAGATCTGATTTTTTCATCAGGATACAGAAAAAAACAGCAATCTGTGTCTGAATAGCATCGCACAAAAGAAATAAACTAAATGCTTGAATGTGAATTCTCTATAGAACATCACAATATTTCAGTGCATCGATACTGTTCTTGCATATCTTACAAAAAAGACAATCTAAAAAGGTCAATTTGTTTCCTTTAAGCATCCAACAATAAGCCAAACAGATCAGAAACAAAGTATGTGCCATTACTACCGAAAGTAAAAACTCTCCTTCTTCTCGTTTGCCATGGGTTTGTTGCACTTCAGCTCAGTGGTCTGAAAAAAGGGACAATGATCAATCAGTATTAACCAACACATATTAGCTAAATAAAGGTCATCCTCTCAAGTGGCTCACTGGTTGTGTAGGTTTTGATGAGGCTCCCTCCCACAACAGCATGGACAGTTTAGCAGGGTTAAAGGTCATGATAGGACTTCCTTCATCAGACACCACCGTCACTGCGAAAACTAAACACAGCTGACGTTAGTGTTCATGACTCTCATCAAAGTTAAACTGAATTAATGAAATGGTGTACAAACCTGGGAAGGTGTGTCCTGCAAGAAACTTCGCAGAGTGGACATAATCCACCTGCAGCCGGACGGGTTTGTTGGGATCTGGAATCACAGTGAAGCTCACTGATGGACCAGGGATGGGTTTCCTGTTGAAGGAACCTTTAAAATCCAGCTGATAGTACCCCCTAGTGGAAGAAATGAGTAGCGACTATCTTTAGTAGAATAATTTTTAAAAAGGAATGATTAAATAAATGTGACCAATAATGCAAACAAATCATGGAAATAAAACGTAAACATGAAAATGATGTCGGTAAAGCAAAACTAAATCTCAAGATTTTTAAAATACAAATTTCTACATTTTACACTACAAGAAACAAAGTTAAGTTACTTAAGTCGCTCCTCACAAAACAACTGTGACCAATGCTTTTATTATCTCAACATTAGATTATTGCAGCTCCCTGTAAGCTGGCCTGAGCCAGTCCTTATTGACTTGACTGCAGCTGGTCCTTTTGGAGCACGGAAGTGGGACCATGTCACTCCCATTCTAGCTGCTTTGGACTGGTCACCAGTGAAATGTTGTATCCTCTTCAAGATCGTGGTCTTTGTTTTCAACTCCGTCAGGAACCGCACCCCACCATATTTAGCCTCGATGCTGATCTGTTATGTCCCTTCAAGGTCGCTACGTTCAGGTTAGGGTGACCTCCTAGTGGTTCCGTGGTCAAAACGTAAGACCAGAGGTCATCCTCGGCTCTGGAACCGACTGCCATTAGAAACAAGACAGACCACATCGCTGCCCACTTTTAAAGCTAAGCTTAAGGTTTATCTTAGATCTACAGGTCCTTCTCAAAAAATTAGCATATTGTGATAAAGTTCATTATTTTCTGTAATGTACTGATAAACATTAGACTTTCATATATATTAGATTCATTACACACAACTGAAGTAGTTCAAGCCTTTTATTGTTTCTAATATTGATGACTTTGGCATGCAGCTCGTGAAAACCCAAATTTCCTATCTCAAAAAATTAGCATATCATGAAAAGGTTCTCTAAACGAGCTATTAACCTAATCATCTGAATCAACTAATTCACTCTATAAACACCTGCAAAAGATTCCTGAGGCTTTTAAAAAACTCCCAGCCTGGTTCATTACTCAAAACCGCAATCATGGGTAAGACTGCCGACCTGACTGCTGTCCAGAAGGCCATCATTGACACCCTCAAGCAAGAGAGGGTAAAGAAATTTCTGAACGAATAGGCTGTTCCCAGAGTGCTGTATCAAGGCACCTCAGTGGGAAGTCTGTGGGAAGGAAAAAGTGTGGCAGAAAACGCTGCACAACGAGAAGAGGCGACCGGACCCTGAGGAAGATTGTTGAGAAGGACCGATTCCAGACCTTGGGGGACCTGTGGAAGCAGTGGACTGAGTCTGGAGTAGAAACATCCAGAGCCACCGTGTACAGGCGTGTGCAGGAAATGGGCTACAGGTGCCGCATTCCCCAGGTCAAGCCACTTTTGAACCAGAAACAGCGGCAGAAGCGCCTGACCTGGGCTACAGAGAAGCAGCACTGGACTGTTGCTCAGGGGTCCAAAGTACTTTTTTCGGATGAAAGCAAATTTTGCATGTCATTCGGAAATCAAGGTGCCAGAGTCTGGAGGAAGACTGAGCAGAGGGAAATGCCAAAATGCCTGAAGTCCAGTGTCAAGTACCCACAGTCAGTGATGGTCTAGGGTGCCATGTCAGCTGCTGGTGTTGGTCCACTGTGTTTTATCAAGGGCAGGGTCAATGCAGCTAGCTATCAGGAGATTTTGGAGCACTTCATGCTTCCATCTGCTGAAAAGCTTTATGGAGATGAAGATTTCATTTTTCAGCACGACCTGGCACCTGCTCACAGTGCCAAAACCACTGGTAAATGGTTTACGGACCATGGTATTACTGTGCTCACTTGGCCTGCCAACTCTCCTGACCTGAACCCCAGAGAGAATCTGTGGGATATTGTGAAGAGAAAGTTGAGAGACACAAGACCCAACACTCTGGATGAGCTTAAGGCCGCTACCGAAGCATCCTGGGCCTCCATAACACCTCAGCAGTGCCACAGGCTGATGGGCTCCATGCCACGCCGCATTGAAGCAGTCATTTCTGCAAAATGATTCCCGACCAAGTACTGAGTGCATAACTGAACATAATTACTTGAAGGTTGACTTTTTTTGTATTGAAAACACTTTTCTTTTATTGGTCGGATGAAATATGCTAATTTTTTGAGATAGGAATTTTGGGTTTTCATGAGCTGTATGCCAAAATCATCAATATTAGAAACAATAAAAGGCCTGAACTACTTCAGTTGTGTGTAATAAATCTAATACATATGAAAGTGCAATGTTTATCTGTACATTGCAGACAATAATGAACTTTATCACAATATGCTAATTTTTGAGAAGGACCTGTATTTCTTAGGTTTTTACTTATGTTTTAATGTTTTTATTCAATTCAAATTCAAAAATACTTTATTAATCCCAGAGGGAAATTGATTGCTGTAGTAGCTCTGAATAATAATAATAATAATAATAATAATAATCAAGTCATCATTTTGATCATTGTTGTTTTACTGTTTTTAACTTCTATCTTTGAATGTTTTATTTACATATTTTATAAATCTGATTAATTGTGTTTGACTTGTTTTTACATTATGTTCAGCACCTTGGGCCCACTTGACTGGGGGTAGGAAGGGGCTTTACAAATGAACTTGAACTTGAAAGTCGCGTTAGTCATCTCACACTGGTGAAATTACATCTGTGCATTTGACCCATCCCCGTGGGGAGCGATGAGCTGCAGAAACGGCCGTGCTCAAGAACAATTTGGTTGTTTAGCCCCCCAATAAGAACCCCTTAATGCTGAGTGCCAAGCGGAGAGGCACTGGTCCCATTTTTAAAGTCTTTGGTATGATTCGACCATGAATTAGAACCTTCGATTTCCCAGGCTCAGGGGGGACACTCATACCACTAGGCCACTGAGTAGGTAGAGGACAGCGTCACCCTCTGCTGACACCATCAACATCGGTGAAACTTTGACGAAGCAACTGTAAGGAGCTGAAACTGTCAGCAAAATAAGGTAAAAACAGAAACTTTGCTACTCTGTGTATGAGATAAAAACAGAAACACAACAGATCTCTCTATTCGTTCCTTAATTTAAGGGAATTTTGAAAAAAATACAAAGAAAACAGTCAATGAAAAGAGAATAGCACATTTTATCCCAGTATTGATGACACGACCAATAAAAAACAGAAAAAAGTCTTACCTTTGACCGGTTACACTGTTAACAATGAAGGAGGCTTTCCCCTCTGCATCCACAGGTTGTGACATAACAGATGCGGACACCTGTTACAACAGCAACACATTACATTTATACAACTTTCACTGCATATTTCCTGATGCGTTTAATTCCTTATTGAGCTAACCTTTATCGTGGGGGGTGAAGATCTGATCTCTACCACAACTCTCTGGTCTGGAGACGGGTTCCCCCACTTGTCACACAGCTGGACCACGAACGGCGTGGGAATGCCGTGACCATTTATGAGCTGCAACGGCTGGAAAAACACAAAAATATGAGCTTTACTTTAATTTTGACCGCATGAGAACTACAGATAAAAACAACTAATAGGACTTTTACCTGCTCAGGTCCGCTGACCAGCTGAAGCTGCGATGGGACTCCTTCGGTCAGTTTAATGATGACCCGTTCTGTGAAGCCATCGTAGCTGAAGATGATCTCTCTTGGCCCAAGAGACCCGGAGCGGAACTGGAGTCCAGTCACCAGAACAGAACTGCTGCTCTCCTGGAATCAAAGAACAAGGAACATTTTTAAAAATGTTGCTGTACAAAAAAATGTCTGTCAGCAATTAAGACGCATGTGCTCGGGTTTCTTTCAGTATGTACCGATTTCCTCGAGCACCAAAACAAATTCCTTGTGAGTAAGGGTGTAACTGTACATATATTCAAATTTGGGATTTCCATTATGGAGCGTTTATTACGGGACAGAGGTGAACAGAGTTCCCACTCAGACCTGTCTGCAAAACTGCCTCTGATGTCCACGATGCAATATTGCAGCATGGCATCAACAAACACAGCCCCAAAACACCCAGAGCCTTCAGGAACTCAGGGCAAACCTCATCCACCCCATTGCCCCGTCACCATGGAGCTTTTTGACCACCACAGTGACAGAGGAGTTAAGTGCCTGCCCCGTAACGGGAGGGTTGCAGGTTCAAGCCCTGTTATTGTTTCCTTGGGCAAGCCACTTGCCTTGTTACTGGTGGTGGAGGGACTGGTGGCTCCTGTGTACGGCAGCCTAGCTTCTGTCAGTGCGCCCCAAGGCAGCATTGTAGGTTCTCACCACCAGCGTGTGAATAAGTGTGCATGGGTGAACCCAGAATGTCCCAAGCTGAGATCCGCAGGACACCGTCCCCAACATAAGCAGTGGTGATAAAGCGCCCCCCCAATGAGACGCCAGATTGAAGAAAAAAAGTTTTTTTTAGTATATATTTGATAGTGAACCAGAATATCCTCATGCCCAAGTCTTTGCCTCAGCAACCACCTGAGCTGCCGATACCCACTGCTGCAGTCCCACAGCTCCCTCACTGCCAATGTCCACCAGAGGGTTGCTGCCGTGACAATCACTGATCATCCACCGCTCTGGTCAGTCGCCTCAACAATGGAGGTATGGCGCATGGCCCAATCGGACTGTCTCCCGCCCCTACAGGCGGTTTGTTTGACGTTTTGACGGAACTGGGAACTGAAGCTCTTTCTGACAGGAGACTCCACCAGACATTCCCAGCAGGCCCTCACAATACGTTTAGGCCTGCCATGTCTGACCAGCATCCATCCACATCATCAGAGCCAACTCACCACCAGGTAATAGTCAGCTGACAGCCCCCCCCCCTCACCTGAGCGTATCCGAGACCCGTGGCCACAGATCAACACATTTGATTATCAAGCTGCAGCCCAATAGCTTGGCAAGCCATCCTATTTATGTGAATATAGTCTGGCCACGACACATCGACGGATCTCAGTCGCGGGGCTGGATCTACGGTTGTCTTTTAAACAGTCTCTGCGAGGGTTGCAGTGACAAAAAATTGGTGCATAATTATAATAATCACAATTTCCTCGATTATTTAACATAAACTGATTTCACATCAGTAGTAACACATGAATCTCATAAAAATATCCTATCAAGTATTAATAAAGTTCATGATTACATTCTATAAAGGTTTTGAGCTCCAAAAGCTATTTATTATTTCAGAGATTCTGCTTAGAACATTTTATTAGCAAAACCAAAGTTATCTCTGTAATTTTGAAATTACAGCTTAAAACTTTGAAACGTGGCGCTGCGCCATGCCCACAAAATGCCGTTACGGTTCCATTTCCTGTTTCGTCTCATCAACAGAGTAAAAGCCTATACTTGTAAAGCGCCGTATTGAATCTGTTATGTACTTCAGCAGTACAGTGTTCCAACCTGCCATGTGAAGTTGATATTTGACTTGTCGAGCCCTTCGGCCTCCACAGTTATATTCTCGGTGCAGGTGGGGGTGAACTTCTTGGTAATGTTGTCATACTGGTCCACAAACTCCAACTCTACATAGACAATACAGCAGGTAACAAAAAAGCACTTCACACATTAAAGCGTATTGAAGTACTCATAAGTGAACTCACTGATGTGTCCTGCTAAGGTTTCACCGAGCCTCAATGTGCTTTGAGGCGATGTTACTTTCAACCGTGCGGGTTCATCCGGGCATGGCCTATAAATAGAAGAACAAACATTTTTATGGCAAAGCAGGGTTTGTAAGAAAAAGCTCAGCCAATAAAAAACAAGAAAAAATGTAAAAAACAATTCTATCATTTACTTGTTTGCTCAGTGCCTTATTCTGAATTTACATTGGACCATTGCAGAGTTCTCCAATTGTCAAGTGTTTTTTTGCAAAAGAATTAATAAAATTTGAAATGAACAAAATGTGACTGTGTATTTATCTTTTTGCAAGTTACTGAACAAGGAAACAACCTTATTTTCATGTTCATTCTGTGTTTTGGTCTGACAAACATGCCCTAAGATGAAACTTCTAATACCTCCTCTCTGCATTGACAGAACTGCAACATGACTATAATCTAAAATTATAAAAAGGCACATCAGGGTTACATACAGGAAAACAATCAACATTGTATTTTTACTGAGTAAAATAACAAAAACGACCACAGCAGAAAATCCTCCAAGCCTTCACAAAAAGAGCCTCGAACATACACAAGTCTAAAATAATCTGAAATGTATCTGATAGTTTATCGTACGGACTAGGGTTGGGCGATTTGTATAATTTTTCCCACCGCCAATCGTCAGTCCCAAAAAAAAAGACGATGGACGATTTTTTTCGTGCATGTGACGTCATGACGCACGGACTGATTTAACACAGAAGAAGCCCAAAACATTGATTTTTGTTAGACAAGCGCAGCACACATGCTTGCTGGAAGAGAAATTTATATTTTTCTTTTTGTTTAATTTTCTATTGGTAGTTTGGTAGAGTGACGCATAAACGGCCCGTATTAAACACGGTTTAAATGCTAAAAAGAAGCCTCGCCTTTGTTTCTCTGTGGTGCCCACCGTTGTGGTGTTTTATTTAAGCAAAATATTTCTTTCTGAACAAAAACTTCTGGAGTTCTTTCTTTTATAAGTGGGGGATGGAAGGAATCGCTGCTGCGTTTGGACGCACTCTGAGGAGGCAGCTCGCTGCAAGAGGTCACACGATCCATTTATCCCCGTCACTTTCATTTTTTAAATTATGAACAATCATTCGTTACATTTTTATTCGTTTTAATTAATACTTAGTCCAACCAAGCTGATCAGAATGTCCCAGTAACAGGAACAATACAATTAATCAATTTCACTTCAATTAGGAACATTTCACCCGCTGCGGCTCAAACGCACATTCCTCCTGCGCCGCGTGAACCTGAACTGGCCACCTGCAGCTGGTGTGTAATCAGATGTCTCTAGGGAGCTTGCTGAAGAGGTTATGGGCTTCTAGACGTTTGTCTCAGACAGACTCACGGCTGTTTAAATAATCTTCTGGATGGATCCGTGCTCTGCTGACACACTCGAATAAGTGCTGAAGGAAACATTTCTCCAAATGAAATAACCAGAAGTCTTCCAGACTCTGAAAGATAGAAGGGTTTCCACTTTCCACTCAACGCTGTAGTGCACCATGTCGAGTGCGTCACAGACGCTCTCCAAACCCCTCCTCAGCGTGCTGCTTGCGTGCGCACTGTCGGCAGCCAGAGGCGGAGGAGGTGAGAAAAGGCTCGGATGCGCTGATGGAGATCTTTTCTTGACCGTTACCTCCGCGATGTTCTCTGTGCATAGCGTGTAAAATATTCGTCAATAACAAACAAATAGGTAAATAAACAAATCGCCTCCTGTAAAAAAACATCCGTAACGGCTCAGCCCATCGCCGATGGTCGATTCATTCGTCCCATCGCCCAACCTTAGTAGGGACGATATTAATGACATTTTTTTTCCACTTCATTCTTGACATTTTTACTTTAATCTTTATATTTACTCCTTGTTGGAAGTGGCTTTAATATGCCATCTCCTACCCCTAATGAAAAATACAAACTTTTAGGCTTTTTATCAGTCTTTCGCTAGAAGCTTTGCTTTACTAAATAAAAAAAAAGGCATACTTCGCAACTTTCTCCTATATTTTAAATCATTTTCTTGATCCAGTATGTGCTAAAATGACCCTTTACTGCAGGGCTATTCTATTCTGGGACTTGAGGGCCGGTATCCAGCACGTTTTAGTTTTAAACCATTTTAACACACCTGATTTCAATCAGCAGGTGATTAACAGGCTTCTGCGGAGCCTGATGAGCTGCAGCACAGGTGATCCAACCACTAAATCAAGTATGTTGGAGCAGAGAAACCACTAAAACGTGATGGATACCAGCCCTCCAGGACCAGAACTGAATACCCCGGTTCTAGAGGGTTAATAAAATGTCACTCAGACCCCAACCAACCTTTGTGGCCAGAATACGCATTTGCATCTTTAGACTGGCGGTCTGGTCTGTTGGACTTTGAAATGCCAGGTATGTCAGCTCCATTGCTTTCCGTCTGCTTCCTGCATGTTTTAGATCATGAACCGCTGGTTTGTTTGATTTAGTGATGGATCGCTCCTGCAGACACTAATGAAGGCTGAGGAGACATTTTAGCATTCTGATTAAGGTACTAAAAAGACAAAGCGAGGAGACAAGTTTTGCTTTTGGTTCTACTAAACGGGTGAAAAGCGAGCCAAAACTGCCTAGTCTTCGTTAACAGATTAGATGTAGGGTTGGTAGTCTGTTTTAGAAAAAAATGCCACAACGCATCAGGGAGCCTTAGGTTGTTTATGTGTTCAGACTGTTGCAGTAATGTGGCGCAATCGTGTCATTTTATCAAGGCATTACACGACGGTGGTATAAATGGGGCATTGGGGTGGTCTCAGCACTGCAGAGGACTTCCCCATGTAGTCTCTGGTGATCTGATCTCCAGCTCTAATGGAGCATCGCTCCAGATTATCATCTCAGCTTATTCTCTTTAAAAATCTAAACTTAAGGCCCGTGTTTACTTTCATTTTCAATATTGTTGCTGGCTGGAGCTCAGCAGTAACTCCCCACGTGATCATGACACCGCCCTCTGTTGGGCCATGGCGTAATATACATTCACAAGTCTGGCGTTGCCACCTCGAGTGGCGGAACGAATGCCGCAAAATTACCGCAACGCCATGCTGCCATGGCACGTTCATAAGCCCCACCGAGGCGGCAGTATTACGCTGATTTGCCGGCATGGTGGGTCTTCTAAAAAGGGTTTGTGGCTTACACAATGCAGAAGGACACGCTCAGCTCCTGGTAGGACACCTGGCAGAAGCGCTCTTCCTTCACCTGTTTGGGTACCCGAACATCAGGTAACTTCCCCTGAACCACATCTGACTGATAATCATCTGTCCAGTTAACCTTAAACACAACCAGGGAGCAGAATGTCAATAAAATAAAACAAAGCATGAAAACAATCAGCATCAACATGAAGAGGCCCACACCTTAATCCTGGAGGCTACTTTTTCAGTGATGGACACCTCTGTGCCAGACTCATCATACAGTTTATAAAACAGGTTCTCCAGCAGTCCTCCTGCTTCCCACTTGATCTTTTCTTTGTTATTCAGCACCAGAGAATCTTCCCCCTGACAGAAGACTACCATCTTTGTGACTCGACTGCTGGGCATGACCTTCAGCTCCGTCACAACTGGCTTAACGTGCTTCTGACTCTAACGTAAAACAAAAGGAAAATCAACACAATGCAAAATGTTTAAAGCTGACTGTATGCTACGGACTTACAGGCATGCTGAATTCAGCTTCAAGGATTTTAGGCTCTCCATTGATTATGTTAAGGTTGATGGGTGTTGTGACAAGCTGGCCCACTCCAGTGTTGCTGCAGTCTACAACCATTAAAGGAAGTCCTGTGACCTGAAGAAGCATCAAGAAAAAGAGGGAGAAATAAGAGAGAGAAGACTAATTTAAATAAAATGTAAAATGAAACAAACCAAAAGGGTAACAATGAGGCTTGAAAATGGTTTAAACATGAAAGTTAGCATAAATCAAGCATTTCCCTCCATTTTCTTCAAACAAATGCTTATCTTTTATATATATTTATATATAGTGGAGGAGTTTAAGTAACTCTGGGTCTTGTTCACGAGTGGGGGAAAGATGGAGCACAAGATAGGCGGATTGGTGCTGCGTCTGCACTGATGCAGGTGTTGTACCTGACCTGAAAGGCAAAGCTCTCCATTTACCGGTCGATCTACATTCCTACCCTCACCTATGGTCAGGAGCTTTGGGCAGTGACTGAAAGAACAAGATCGCGGATACAAGCGGATTAAATTTGTTTTCTCCGCAGGGTGGCTGGACTCTCCCTTAGTGTTGAGCCCCCTTCAGACAGGCCATGAAAAACGGAAATGTTCCGGACTCTGTCCGTAAGACCTTTGTGTCTGAATACAAACATCCGGATAACGTGTTCCGGAATTTAACCGGACGAAGCCCCTAGTAACAGGTCCGGACTTGTTACGGACAGGGTGGCTGCTTCAGACTGGTGGGGTAAAGTTCCGGACAAGGGGGAGAGGGAGGAGGAGGGGACCGGGGGACGCTGTGCGCACCTAGATAGCTCGCTGCTGTAGCATGCGGCGAACCACGGCAGCTCGCCTCCTACGGTACCGTCTAGACGCGCGACGGAGCGCTTCACACCGCTTCAGTGATTCCTTTAACCATTTAGCTTCATCATCCAGGTTTCGTATGCGTCTTCGTGTGTGCAGAATTATGCTTAAGCGCCTCGTGATTTTTATCTTGAGAGGCGCTATAGAAATGATATTTTCTTCTTCTTCTTCTTCTTAACATAAGTCCGATTCTCTCCCCCCACCCCCCCACCCCCACACCACCCGCCGCCGTCAGACAACTGGAACTTTTCCCTGCTGTGTGAACGCAGCCGAAAGGACAAGTTCCGGTACAAAAGTGGTGTGTCTGAAAACACATATCCGGTTAAAAACCGGATTGAATTGTCAGATAATGTTCCAGAATGTCAGTCTGAAAAGGGCTCTAGAGTGAGAAGCTCGGTCGTCCAGGAAGGGCTCAGAGTAGACCTGCTGCTCCTCCAGGTTGAGAAGAGCCAGTTGAGGTGGCTCAGGCGTCTGGTCAGGATGCCTCCTGGTCGCCTCCCTGGTGAGGTTTTCCAGGTACGTTCAACTGAGAGAAGACCTAAAGGAAGACCTAGGACACGCTGGAGAGACTATTATCTCTTAGTTGTTCAGGGAATGCCTTGGGATTTCCCCGGAGGAGCTGGCACAAGTGGTTGGGGAGAGGGAAGTCTGGGCCTCTCAGCTTAGGAGGATGCTGCCCTCGCGACCCGACTCCTTGGAAACATTTTTGTTGGAGAATTTGTAGCAAACAATAAATGTTTCACTAAACCACACAACATGTAAAAAAAAAAAAAAAAACAGTTCATCCAGCACACACACACAACTCTAGTTTTCCAATTCCTCCGACATAGGGATGCATTTACCTGGCATTGAACAATCTGATTGAGGTCGGCCGTGATGTTCCCCGCCTCGTCGTGAACTTCAACTAGAAAAGTTGTCGGGTTTCCATTCTCTAATTTGATTGGCTTTGAGTCTGGCTTCACGTGAAGCAAATGTGGATTTCCTGGAATGTCATAGGATCGTTATGCCATGGAAAAGTGGTGGGTTTTAGCTCAAAAAGCTTATATTCTAGTCGTGCTTACCAGGTAAAAGGCTGATCGTAAAGGTTTGTGTGTCTGCTTTTAGACCAGGAATTGTCACATTCAGGACATAACCCTGCAAAACAATCATAACATTATTTGTAAATATTTAAATCCATTTTATTAATAATCATAATATATAAAAGTGCATCAAGAAGCTAGATTTTGTCTTCTTAGAATGAAGATAATTTTTTGCGTGTAACCTTGTTTTGTTGGTAATTCTGGACTTTCCCTCGTGCTTTGACATCTTTGATGATGAATGTGGTCCCACTGTAGCTTGTAACCCTATAGCTCAACTCCAGGCCACTAAAGGAATGAATCACGGAATGAATGAATGGATGGATGGATGAACAGATGGATTTATGAATGAAGTGACCCACCTGCACTCCAGGACAGGTTTGATTTTGGGAGGAAGCTTCGTTGGGTGATTATAACCGTCTTTAACCTCCAGAGGAATGTCAAAGGGCACTCCCACACGAAGAGGGGAGCTCAGAGGACCCACAGTAAAGCTCTCTGCACTACCCTCTAAAATCAATGAAAATGGCAGATACATGAGAAATTCTTAAAGAGCAGAAAACCTGAAACTAATGTTCTGAAAACTCAGGGTGTTTGACCTTTGATGGTGAACTTGAGCACATGGCTGGGAAGCGGCTTGCCTCCATAAACGGTGGAACAACTGTCGTGTATCACAGTTTGTAGAGTCAGTGTGTATTTCCCCAAGTATCTCAGAGTTTCTGAACAAAAGAAAAAATAAATAAAAATTATACAAGTAACTCATACTGTCAAACAGAAACGTGGAAAGGAATGTACCGATTTTTTTGAACCAGTGTCCTTTAGTAAGGAGAAAGGGAGCAGCAAGTCTGGGAAACTCTTTGTTTTCTTTAGGACCTATGACAAAAAAAAAAAAAAACTTTAATGATGGTAAAAATGGTAAAGACCTGTATTTATGTGGTGCCTTCTAGAAGTCTACAGCCCCCCAAGGTGCTTTACAACAATCATTCACCCATTCACACACTAATGGTGATGAGCTACATTGTAGCCACAGCTGCTTTGGGCCACAGTGACAGAAGTGAGTCTGAAGTCCTCAAGACGCCACTGGTCCCTTCGACGATCACCAGCAGGTACGTACACAACAATGGCGACTGAGCATGGGGCGAACCTGCAACCTTCCGGTCACGGGGCAGGCACTTAAGTCCTCAGCCCCCGTCACCCCAATAAAAATAAAATGACTGAATCAAAGTTTTAGTCTTGGGCTTAACCATCTGTATAAAGCACAGTTGGTTCATGGACTATCTTCTTTAGGGCTGTCAATCAATAATTTTCATTTTGATAAATTTCAAGAGTTTCATAGCAATTAATGGCAGATGATAAGTGCACTGTGAAATATTTTTCACGCTGATAAAACTCCTAGAAACACTACCATACCACAGTGGAGGAGTTTGAGTGTCCTAATGATACTAGGAGCTATGCTGTCTGGACATTTTGTATTTTGCCCCCTAGCAGGGTCTCCCTTGGTAAATCAGTCCTAGGTGAAGGGGGAGACAAAGTGCAGTTCAAAAGACCTCTTATAAGCTTAAATTCAGAGTACCCATGTTTTGTCTGTGGGCCCTCAGAGACAACAGCTAATGTTGTAGGGCTGTCTTACATTTTTTTGATATCAGGGGTGATGCCTGTGGAATGGCAGATAGTTCCAGTTTGCAAGAAAGTGGGCCAGAAGATGTGTTCCAACTAAAGAGAGGCCACACTCCTCAGTCTCCCTGGAAAGGTCTACTCTAAGGCACTGGAGAGAAGGGTCCGGTTGATAGAAGGAGGAGCAATGAGAGTTTCACCCTGGCTGTGGAGCCGGAGACCAGCTCTTTACCCTTGCTAGGGTGCTGGAGGTTCTATCAAACTATGATCTTCAACGGTAAATTGTTATCGACCTGTATTTGATAAAGCACTTTCTAAAGTCCAAGAAGCCCTCAAGGTGCTCAATGCTTGCTGGGGGTGTGGGGGTTGCAGCTAAACATGAAGCAACTGGGATGAAAATCAGCATGTCCAAATCCATGGCTATGGTTCTCAACCAGAAGAGGCTGGAAGAGAGGTCCTACCCTGAAGTGGGAGACTTTACGTAACCCTCAGTCTTGTTAATGAGTGAGGGAAGGAGGGAGCGGGAGATGAACAGGCATATCAAGGCAGAGTCTGCTGTGATACAGTCAATAAAACTGGTCTGTTATGATGAAAAGAGCAAAGTTCTCAACTAAACAGGCAATTTTCATCCTAATCCTCGCCTGGAGTTATGAGATTTTGGTGATGAGCAAAAGAACAAGACTGCAAACACAAGCGGCAAAAAAAGAGTTCTCTCCATCCCAAACAGCAGAGATTAGTTCAGCCCTGCTGTGACCCAGAGGTCGTGTGTTCAAAGCTAGTGAATAACAGGACTTTCAAAACAATAACAATAAAAACTCATTTATGCAAGTTAAACCCCTTTTTTAAGTAAATCAAATAATCCTTTCACGCAATAAAACGTTATCCTTTTCACACCAAATTTCTTGATGACAGCCCAGATGGAAACGTCCGACTGAAATACATTATCACATTGTCTAAAATAAGAAAAAAAAGGAAATTCTTGTTTTTTTTGTACAGTAAGAAAATCTCACTGATATAAATGACCATTCTTGACATATTAAAACACAGTAAAGCAACATTAGTCTTTGAAAAAGGTCTGAGTCACAGATGAGCTCACCATGATGGACTATTTGGAGTTCAATGTCCAGTTTTATCCCTTGGCCTCCTGAAAGGATCTTGGAAATCAAGTCCCCCTTCCTGTTGAGGATTTCAACTTTAAGAGGCCCTGGATTGAAGCGACACATAAAACATTACTGACCTTCAGGCTCATTACAAACACTCATCATCACGTGTATATGTGGATTCTGGTGTCTGAGGATGAAATCAACACTTAACCAAAAACAGTTCCAGCAGGACGAATAGCATTCTGAGGCCAATCGTTTCCCTCTGGCCATTCAAGTTTAAGCTCCTCTGGCAGCCTGGAATTAAACACAAACAGACGATTTGAGTGTTTAAACAATGGAATCACACTAAAGCTGAAAGATGGCAGATTTATTTTATCTTTGCTCACTTGTCGAGGTCATTCTCAATAACTGTCTTAATGCCTTCAACACTGATGTTCGTGTCAATCTTAGAAATGGCGATGATCTTAGTGGCTCTGTCGTAAAGTGCTTCAGGCTCCTACACAAACAGATTTTAGGATAAACAGGGAAACATTTAGATTTTATCTTAAACTTTAGAATAATGTTACTTATGTTAACCACATGAATTAGTTCTTTACACGTCTGATTTCCACTTGTCCTCCTGTAGCGTAGACGTCCTGGTTGTGATCTCCGTACAGCAAAAACCGAACAACGCTGCCATAAAGGAGTGGCTGTGTTTTCTGAGACTTCACCTACGAGGAAACATGGTAGCATTTGAATTAATACCAGAATGATTCAAATTGCTTTTATAAAATAAAATCTATTCTTACTAATTGGCCTGTTTTGTATACGTTTCCACCAAACTCGATGGAGGAGAACGTCGCCCAGGGATGCTGTCTTCTCTTCATCGCCATGTCGGTTCGAGTAATGGTGCCGAGGTATTCAATAAACTTCACCTGTTTGTCAAAATTCTCGTGACAGGTCTCGAGCCACTGTGTGAATTCTTTCTCGATGTTGCTTCTTTTTGAGGTTTTCTGAGAAATATACAGAAAATAAGTAATTTTTTGTATTTCGTGGTAATTCTTGATTAACTGACTGAAACACATTTCTAGAGAGAGCCTGTATGAAAAGATCACCTGATTGTTGACAAAAGTGGTGAAAATGGTATCTTTGTTTTTTAGTTTCAACTCCAAATCCATGAACTTTAGCTTGCTTGCGTTAACCTGGAATCTGTCATCAGTAAAAAGCACCCCAGAGAACCTGCTGTAACACTCTGCAGGTAAAGAGGCTCCTTTAATGGGTCGAGTGCACCAATCAAACCTACATGATCAGAGAAGAATACATTCAGTAAAACAAAAGATTAAAAGAGCTTATATTTTTAAAAGGTGTAGCTCTCATTGGTTGCATTGGGTGGTAGCCGAAGTTGGGGGGCATTGGTGACTTGATACTCGGCTACAGAAGCTGGCTCTAGGTACATGGAAAGTACCTCTCTGGTGGGGAAAGAGCCTGAGTTGGTGTGTGAGGCTGAGAGGTTCCAGCTAGATGTAATCAGACTCACCTCAATGCATGGCTCTGGTTCCAGAAAGTTTTCTTGAAAGGGGGTTGGACACTGTACCACTCTGGAGTTGCTCTCACTGAGAGGAGCTGATTAGGGGTTGGCATACTTGTTGCCTCCCATCTTGGTGCCTGTTAGTCAAGGTTTACCCCAGTGAATGAGAGAGTGGCCTCCATCCGCCTACGTATAGGGGGACAGGTCCTGACTGTTAATAACGCTTTTATGTTAAACAAATGTCCTGTTGGCATATATGCTTTTATTCTGAAAGTGTGTGTTTTTTTCCGGAGGAATCTTCCTTTTGGGCGGGAGTTGAATGGTGTCATGGCGGAATAAAGGAGAAGTTCTTAACAGAGTATCAGTCTAGTTTACTGAGTAACATTGGTAGCAGAGGATGGCTAACAACTACAGAGTCCCACCAGCCTTTGATGAAAAGAAGTCCTATGAAAGCTGGAAAAATGAAGTCGCCATTTGGATTCGGGTGACGGACTTGGAGAAAAATAAACAAGCGCTCGCGGTGGCTTTGGCGCTATCTGGAAGAGCAAGAGAAGTCGCGATGGAAATATCGATGGATGATTTGAATGAAGATGACGGAATGCAGATGTTACTTCGAAAACTTGATGATTTATTTCTTAAAGAAGAAAAGGACCGTGTTTATGAAGCATACACTAACTTTGACCGAATCATGAAAGATGGCAACGTGTCCATGGAGGACTATAACATTGACTTTGAACAGAGATACTTGCAGATGCCGAAATACAAGATGGAGCTTCCGGATGCGGTGTTAGCTCTCAAGCTGTTGGATACTGCCTGTTTGGATGCAAAAGATCAACAGCTGGCCCTAACTGCAGGCACAGATTTAACGTTTGCTTCGATGAAATCAGCGTTAAAAAGGATCTTGGGAGGGAAGTCGGCTCACGCTGTGGGAATTAATCAAGAAACTGCCTGCTTAACAGAACAGAAAAGCAAACCGCGCTACTCTTGGAATCAGCGCGATAAACAAAAGGCGTCACTCCCTGGAACTAATCCACTGGACAGGTATGGACGCAGATCAAGATGTGCAGTCTGTCAGAGCACATTTCACTGGGCAAAAGACTGTCCAAGCAAAGGTGAGCAAGCTAAACTTACCTATGCTGGTGAGTCAGAGAAGGTGGAGGAGTGCAACATTGCTCTATATCCAAAAGAGGCACCCTCAGATGCGGAAATATTTATGACTGAGTGCCTTGGTTCGGCAATAATAGACACAGCGTGCACCAAAACAGTATGTGGACAAGAATGGCTTGACAGCTATATTATCAAGCTAACTCCAGTTGAAGTAAAAACACTAAAGATGTCAGAAGTACACAGCAGTAGACCCTTCAAGTTTGGAGATGGAAAAATAGTAAAATCCATCAAAAGGGTAAAGATACCAGCAAATATTGGACAGACTAAGTGTCAGATTGAAACAGAAGTTGTCCCAACAAAAATACCTTTGCTTTTAAGTAAAGAATCGATGAAAAAGGCAGAAACAGTGCTTAACATGGAAAATGACAGCACAGTGATGTTCAACAAACCTGTGAAGCTTGACTTTACCAGCTCCGGTCACTACTGTGTGAACATAATGGATAACAATATACCGTCTAGTTATCATGACAATGTCATAACGGATAATGTAAAGAAGGGTGAAGAACAGATACTGGCACTCACAGAAACAATGACTTCTGCGGAGAAGACAAAAATGCTGATTAAACTTCACAAGCAGTTTGGACACGCATCTGCTGAAAAACTTAACAGACTGCTGATAAGTTCAGGCAATAAAGACAGAGTGTGGATCTATTCTGCAAAAGGTGGTAGAACAATGTGAAACATGTCAGAGATACGGCAGAACCAGACCAAAGCCAGTTGCTGTCTTCCACTGGCATCTCAGTACAATGAAACTGTGGCAATTGATCTACATGAACTTAAGCCGGGGCTGTGGTACCTCCATGTCATTGATCAGTTCACAAGATTTGGTGCAGGAAGCATACTAACCACGAAGAAGTAATCTGAAATTGTTAAACACTTCATTCATGTATGGATAAGTGTGCATGGTCCACCTAAAAAGCTGTTCAGTGACAATGGGGGAGAGTTTAACAGCGATGAGGTCCGGGACATGGCAGAGAACTTCAACATAGAAGTAAAGACGACAGCAGCATACAGCCCATGGAGCAATGGGCTACTTGAAAGACATAATCAGACGCTCACGGAAATCATAATGAAAGTGAAACGGACACAAGCTGTGACTGGGATACTGCATTGGACTGGGCGATAAATCAGGCCAGCTTATCTTATGGTAAATTTCCTCCTCCCAGAATTTACCTTGAAGTTCCAAAAATGGAAACACACCTGATGGTCTTGAGTAGAATACCTTCTTTGGTCCTGTCTCGGGTGGAGGAGTTTATCTCAGGTCTTGTTCAAAAATGAGGGAAAGATGGAGCGAGAGATCGATAGGAATGTGGTGCTGTGTCTACAGTGATGGAGGTGTTGTACCGGTCAGTCATGGTGAAAAGAGAGCTGAGTCAGAAGGCAAAGCTCTCGATTTACCGGTCGTTCTTTGTTCCTACCTTCATCCATGGTCACGAGCTTTGGATAGTGACTGAAAGACCCAGGACACGCTGAGGAAACTGTGTTTCTCGTCTGCCTTGGGAATGGCTTAGGATGTCCCCAGAGGAGCTGGCCCAAGTGACTGGAAAGAGGGAAGTCTGGGCCTCCCTGCTTAGGTTACTGCCCCTGTAGCCTGACCCCGGATAAGTAGATGAAAATGGATGGATGGATGGATAGATATCATGGACCCGTGTCAATCTTTGAAAATGTATAAAAGAAACTACAAACAGATAAATAAGATATATACTCAGAAACTGTGGTGTAAGGGACGAGTCGTCCATTCCAGAAACATTCAAAGATGTCCCTTTTTCCTCTTGCCTGATTTGGGCCTTCGGGCTCGTTTTCATGGTCGTCCTCAGCAACAGGCTCTGAAAAACAGAAAAACCTCCAACTGTTATCAACCTTTTCAATAAATTAATGCAGTGTGTAGGATATCCCGTCACCTTGAGCAGTGTACGGATCTTTGGGGTAGGTCTCCTTGTCGTAGAGGAATGGGTGATATCGGAGAATCCCCTCTACGGTGCCGCCGTTTGAAGTGGTGGCTCTGAACTCAAACATGCTGACAGCAGAGTTGATGTACAAAGTCTGCATGTCGTCATCCACTTCTCTGAGATTAATGGCACGTGGGCATTTAGGAGGCTTCTCCCGCAATGTAACCTGTTAAATTTTACAGAAACATCCAAGGTGACAAAAATGATCTCTAATAGAATGAGAAGAACTGTAATCATTGGTGTACAACAAGTCTCACCAGAATGTCGATATTTGGGCGATCAACTGATCTCTCGCCATTTAACTTGTTTCCATCAATGCCATGAATGTAATAATGATAAATGTGCCTGAAACACAGAGAAACAAAATCCAACTTAATTACACGACAGACTACAGATGTTTTTCAGATTAAATGTGATGAAAGCTCACGCTAGCTCTCTGGTCCACTCAAGAAAATGTTGCTTCAGGTAGTCGATGTCCTCGAGACAAACTCCCGTAATAACAACAGCAGTGAAGCTTTTGTTCCCAGTTTCTTCTGTAATGAGGCTTCGGAGAAAGCGCTCATCATTTGTTACATGTGACGAGTCACCAGGCTACAGCAGGAGAAAGCATCACTCAGACAATCACAATCAGACACAAGTCACTAAAACGAGATGATCCCATTTTAAAGAAATTCTTACCTTCCTGTTTAAGATGGTTCCTTTATAAACATCCTCTTTGTTCTGCTCTTTTCTCAGAAATTCTTCTTTTGACAGAACCAACTCGTGAACATCTGGAGAGCCAGCTGTTTTGGTGATCATCTAATAATAGAGACGTGACACCCCAAAGATACATTAAGTTGGTTAATTATGGTGCTTTCTTACTTTTAAGATTAATAATGCTTGAGGTCAATTTTAAACAACTTTATTTTGTGAATAAGATTTTACCAAATAGTATTAAAAACTGGATTAGAAACATCATTTTAAACTGATTCACAAGTGAAGTAAAATATGTTTATTATCTATTACAAATCTGTGACCCGTTTTCCTAAGAATACCTGTTGGTGTTAGTGAGTCATGAGTATTGCTCCTGTCAGATGACTACTTCCTGTTCCCTGTATGAGTGATGTCACCTACAGATAGGGTTCAAATTGTAGATAAATATTTTTTTACCTTGAAAATGGCTAAAAATTGCGTTAATGCAAACATGTTTAAACAATCTTTTTCAAGTTTCTTACAATTTTTTTTACACAATGTCATGAAGAAATAATTTGTACTCCATTAGTTTATATTCATTATTTTTTGTTATTAAAGACTTGTACCATTTTAACTGTTTGTGCATTATATGTAATATGTAAGATTTTTACAGTGAAATAATCACAAAACAGTGTTAAATGTCCCAATCATTTTGGAAAGAAGGCTATATTAAACAGATTTCCTTCTCTGTTAGCTGGGGGCTTGTCAGATTTTCTCCTTTCAAAAACCTAAAGAGAAACTTAGTCATGGTTGTTAAAGTGTGTAAATAATTCCATTACGATCTTATTAACTCTATTATTATTTGAAGTTTCATCATTAACATGGAAGATCTAGTGTGAAGCTACACGGTAGAATTAAAAGCCTGTTTAAGACTTCACGAACAGAATATTAGACCCAAATGGAACGTTCCAGCATTTAAGGAAGTTAAGTTACTCGGTAAAGGAGAGGTATTTTACTAGCCTAGTGAACTAGACCAAATATGTGAATATAGTCTGGCTTGCCAGGCTAGTATTTTACAGCCCCTTTATTGTTTTATGGTGGAGGGTGTAATGGTTAGTTTAACTTGTTTACAGCTGCCTATGTGTCTTAATGTGTGTGTGTGTGTGTGTGTTTAGAACATGATAACAGGGTGTCATAAAGCAAAAGAAAGTCTGTCTCCGCGAAAAGAAGATTTATGAGCAACAACTGGTAAGCAGGGTTATCTACAACCAAATGGTCCAGTTTTGGGATGTTTGTAAAAGCGTGATTGTGCTATTCTGTGGGGACTGCCCCTCAGATGATTGTGTCACTGCGTTTTGGAAAAAAAAAAGGCTGCACTGAGGAGAAGTCAGAGATTTTATAATGGAAATCCACCTTTGTGTAACACCTCTCCTCATGAGCCAAACTTAATTCTGCCCGAATTAGTCACTGTTATCCTATAATTTTTCTAACAATGGTTTACCTGGTAAGCCTGGTTGGCGAGTGTGTGCTGAGCTAACGTTGCTGTGCCGTAGTGCTGGGCGATATGGCCTAAAATCAATATCATGATATATTGAGGATTTCACCTCGATAACGATAAATGGACGATAACTACAGGTATGTACAGAAACGAAAGTTGTCCACTAGATGGAGCTGTCACACGTATTACCATGAGTCACATTTTTACGTGACTCATGGTGGTACCGCTTCTTAAAGTGACATGAACGTTGCCAACCTACACACCTTCTCATTTTTGTATTATCAAATTTATTGACATGGGAAAAATTATCTTGATAATAGTCAGAAATTTTGATAACGAAAATTTTTCAATTTATTGCCCAGCCCTAGTGCCCCGACGTTTGTAATTCGACACCAACCTGCAAAAATCTCCAGGAAGCACCAGGGCTGTTCAGAGAACCAAAGCCAGTAGACAGGAGCGACCCAGACGTTATTTCTGTATTCCAAGTGAGCCAGGACATCATTTATTTCCCTCCAATATTAGCTAAAGAAGGCTAGAGGCAAATGTTGAGCTAACAATGCTAACGATGAATTTCGTTTTCAAAAACCAACAACTCATTATTTACAGTGAAATGCATTTATTTATTTACTTTGAAATTTACTGTGCATCACTCCTCTGCTTGTAATCTAGCATCTCCTGGCGTTAAACCATAAATGGCAACAACTTCAAAACTCACAGAATGGTAGTGAGTCACTTTTTAATCAGAAAAACTGCAATACCCAAATTAGACAATAAGATGACATTCTCCCTTCATTCAGACATATTGCACCTTTCAGTAGTTTTCCTTAGTTTATTGCCATGCTAAATCACTGCCGTAATCGTCATCACAGTTGTAGTAATGTCCCGTTTACCAGGTTAACAACTTTTTCATGTTTCTAAATCATTTTCTTGAGCTAGTATGTGCTAAAACGACCCTTTAGAGGGTTAATGAAAGGCCGCCCAGCCCCGTGGCCAGAATATCACACTTGTGACTTCACAGTTGCCGGTCCGGTCTGCTGGGACTTAGAAATAATTGAGCTGACCTACCTGACGCTGCTGTCTGGCTTCAGCATGTTTCCTGCATGTTTTAGATCAGTGGTTCCCAAACTTATTTAGCCGCGCACCCCCTTCTATGTCCCGACCATGTCGACGCACCCCCCAGCCCCCACTTCAGGGCATGGCTATATATATATATATATATATCTCAGACGTCAAGCTAAACAGACAGGGTTAAAAAATATGTTCGACCATTTCCCCATCACTTTCATTTTTTAAATAGTAATTAATAAACATTCGATACCATTACAATTTCCTTTGATTTAATTTTAAAGAAATATTTAGAGTGCCCAGGTAGCACATAAACAATGCAATTTAACGGTTTTCTTAAAGCAGGAACGTTTAACCTGGGGGGCCAGAGCGCTCTCCTTCCTTCTGCTCTGCGTAATCCTGAGCTGATCACCTACTTGTGCGTAATCAAATGTCTATAGGGGAAAACATGGAAAAGCTATAGCCATGAGGTTCACGTTTGCCTCAGACCGACTTATTGCTGTTTTATGGTGTGGCTGAATCTGCGATCAGCTGCCACGCGGACTGGAACAACAAATGCTGCAGGTTCGGAGTCACTGGCTGGAGCGGACCCGATAATACGTCATCCCAAAATAGAAGCTAATATCTTAATTTGACCTGGAATTAAAAATGTTGTTATAAAACCTCTTAAAAGTTTTTATCACAGAGGAGGCAGCGCTCATCTCTGCATTCAGTCTGACGGCACAGCGCCGGAGTTCGTGTGTGTGTGCGCGCGCGCGCGCAGGCGCGGCACAGCTCCGTGAGCCGCTCCAGTGACCGCGTCTCGTTATTTGGCGCTATTTAAACCAATGTTGTAAAATTACTTCTGCCCAGCCCAGATGTGCTCACTTGTGCACCCGTGACCCGTGGTTCCGCTGGAACACGTCTGACTGACAGACGCGCTCTGAACTTCAGATCTTCAGTGCGCTGTTAAAAGAATAATTTCTTGATTTATTTTGTTACATCCACAATGTTCTGTGTGTGAGGTTTACAATGTCAGAACACCTGCATGAGACAGGGTGTTAATTACAATCTGCCAGAATGACTCACCACCTTCAGATTCCTCCAACACCGTTAAAAATGATCAAATAAGGAACATATCGGCGTGCGCAGGCCAGAGTGCTGAAGCTCGGCGCATTGTTATTATGAAGCTAGGGCACAGGTGGAGGACACACACACACACACACACACACACAAGCTAAATATACCTGTTTTCAATTACATTTATTGGGCCCACTTACTTTTTCTTAGGCCCACCCACAAATGAGTTTCTGGCTACACTAATGGTGACATATGACAGACTTCTCTGAGCTCGGCAGCCATTACACTTTTCATCTCGCGCACCCCCTAGCGGCAGCTCGCGCACCCCTGTTTTAGATCATGAACACAGCTGATTTGTTTAATTTAGTGATTAATCACTCATCTAGACACACGAATGCTGGGAGACATTTCAGCTGTTAGATTAAGGGGTTTATAAAGAAACTCAACAGTAAGGAGATAGGCTCACTTCTACAAACGGACACTAGGGGGTGCTAAAAGCAAGCTAAACTGCTTAGTATCCCTTTAAAGCAGCAATCCTAACCTAGAAATCTAGACCAACTAAAGCAATAACAAACGATTTTGTTCTTGCAGGTCAGTGCAACCACACTCCATTGTAGCCTCGGCAGATATTACGTCTTACCAATCACAGCGCTCTATTTGTTGGGGCGGACACAGCACCAGAGCTACCATGGAAAAAATCTACAGAGACGGCATCGGGTCAGGAATGGTACTCGCTCGTACTATTAAGACTTGAGCTTTTATTTGCTACATGAGCAGATAGAGGCACTTAAGTAATTTATTTTTAAAAATGGATGTATTTGTTTCTTCTTTGATGATTTATGGTGGATTGCCCTATTGACTGACATTCGTAGCGTAGGCTTGTTTATAAGAAGTGTCACCAAGAGCATAACATGAAAATAATAATTTTAATACTATGTGTTTTAGTTTTTAGCTGTTGGCTGGCATGAGGTGCGAGTTCACAAATGAAAATTGTTACTTCCAGCTGTAATCATGGAAGTAGGGAGAGGGGCTTATGGTGCAATACATTTTTCCACCTCTAGATGGTGCCTTCTGAGAACAAACCTCCCAATTTCTGCTTTTCAGGTTTTAAACCCTGAGATTGATATTATTTCATGTTAGACCATTTCAATTTCTCCAGGTTATTTTGGATTTCTAGGACCTTGGGGGAAAAAAATCAAATTCTGAGCAAATGATAACTGACGATAATAAATGAAAATGCGAATGCCAGGTCTCTTGAAAACTCACTCTGACTGAGTCCCCGATATGGAAAGCAGCCCGTTTTCCTCCGACTCCAAAGAAGGATATGTCACTGTTCAGACTGCGAGGCACAGGAGCAGGACGCACATATTCCACATTTTCACTAAATTTGATCAAGAATAAAACAGAATGAACCCAATAATCTGACAATGGAAAATTTGAAATTATTAAAAATGAAAGGTTAATAAACACTTACCTTTCAATTGTGCTACTAGCTCGTGTGAATTTAGAGAGTCTGTAAACTGCCCAGTTGTTTAGCTGCTTGGAGGTCATCCCACAGCCATTATCCAAAACAGTCACTGAAGGTTTCCCATCAGCTTTATTGAATTGCTGGTGAAAATGTGCAGGAATAAGTAAAAATTATTCATTCTAAAATGAATCTGTTATATAAGTAAGTAATAAAAACAAACCAGTCGTATCTCTATTGTCCTAATGCCAGTGTTTTTAGCTGTGGCTGATAAAGCATTGTCCACCAGCTCAGCAAAGGCGCAAGCTGGAAAAACGAAAACAAAAAGATCATTATCATTAAAGAATAACATGAAGCCAAGAGCTCTACTTTGAGAATTATAAGCCTTACGCAGTGATTTGTGGCCCTCAACGAAGTATTCATTGGCCCCACTCTGGACCAGTGTGTTAAAATGAGGCACAAACTGGATTTCTTCCTCTATTGAAGCTGAAAGAGGTTGGTCTTTATGTTGCAGCAACCAGAGGGTGATGCCATCCTGCAGCTCCTCTACAACCAGTTCAAAGAATTATTTTTATGGTCATTTTTATATTTTCTCACTTATAAATTTGGCACAAAAATGATCAGATTAACTTACCAAATTTGTCACGATCCACAACCGTCCTGTCAGTTGTAACCAGTACAAACGTCTCACTTAAAGGAATGAAAAATTCCTTTGGAAAACATAAATAATTTTTGAAGATTAAAAACTTTCTGAATCAAAATAGCTTGAAATATCTAAAATTGGTAAAAATGAAATAAATGCTTCCTCTTTACTTCACTGCCTCTCTTGCGTCTATTCAAATGAATGAATGACATACCTGAACGTCGTAAAAGGAAAATGTTAGAGCTAAACTTCAAAGTCAAGAAAAAGACTTAACACTAGAACTCCCAGCAATTTTTGGGTTCCCTCAGCTCTACCAGAGCTTTGTCAAATGACTGCTTGGTTTTAGCCTGGCAAGCCAGACTAAATAAATGTATTATTCTTTGCAAAGCAAGAATTTGGTCTAGTTCACTAGGCTAGCTTGGTTTGATAACAATGACTAAACTGGTCGTTGGCTGCCTTTCACTTGTAAACGTAGCCAGCCACAGATGATGGCCAATGGAATGTGCTTGGGTGTTGGGGGTTGTCAGTCTTTCAGGCTGGCCCAGTGGCTCTACTTGTATCTCTCCTGTCTTGAATCTGGTACACTGAACTTGTCCACCCAAAGACTTCACAGAAGCACACAAAGGACAAGAAAGGATATTTTCTATAGCGCTTAATAAAAAAAAAGCACGGGTTGCTTCAAAAAACAATTAAAATATAAAAGAGGTTAAAATATAATAAAAAAACTGAAAATAAAATGAAGAATTTAGATTAAAAAAATAAAAAAGATTAGCATGGGATGCTGAAAAATGTGGAATTGTTCATGTCCTCTCATCTCCCATGTTTCTTCCATGTCTCTCCCCTTTTCCTCTGCATCATTGTGTTTTCTGTCCCTCTATTTATTATCTTTCAGCTTTCATACTCACACCCTTATTAGTGTCAGTCCAACCATTCCCAGCCCTAGCCTCTGATAATTTCAGTTTTTCCTTCTCATCAGTTTTCACTTTCTTATTTTTTGTGTAATTTTTGTATTTTAATGTTTTATTTAGCTTCCGTCTTTGTGCCTTTGAGCACTGCGTTTTTCTTGGTTTTTTTTTTTTTGTTCTAGTTTTTTCCTCACTTTTTTCCAATTGTGTTTATCCCCTCTGCTCTTTGATTTACTTTGTAAGATCCTGTTCTTGGTGTTAAGTTTTATCATTTTGTTAGTTTATCCTTATGTTCTCCTAGCTTTTCAGTTTCAGTAATCTTCATGTTTGCACTGCATTATGGTTCTTTTTTAACACAGAAAAAGTGTTATTTTTACCTTGTTTTTAATGATGTTTCGACTATCACTGCAGCCTTCTTTAGTTTTGCCACTGTTAGCGGCATCACTTCCTTTCCTGTTTGTGTGTTGAGTTGCCGTCCGACTTCACCAATGTATGTTTTATTGCATAGTTTGCGTGGGATTTTATATATGACTCCACAATGGTGTTCTGCTTATATCTTGTATTTGGGGTGTACAAGTCTTTTTCTAAATGCAATGTATGGTTTTGTTGGTGAACTTATGTTGTGTATTTTCATTGTTGCCATTATTTTCTGTTATGCCTTTTATGTATGGTTACATAAACAGAGTAGGAAGTGTATTCTGGTCAGAAATCACAACCAACCAACAACAACGGAAGCCTGCCAGGCAGGATAACTGCAAGACCGACTTGAACTGTTCAGCTAATTGTGAATAGGTGACTTTTAGCAGACGGACTTGCTATAGTTGCATTTGAAAAGATGGCTCCTAACACCTATGAAAAAGCTGCTTTTCAGGTGTAGGGTGGTGAAGGATAGCCTGGCAAGCCAGACTAAATGCTCCATTGACGGCTCTCGGTTGTGGGGCGGGTTCTACCGTTGTCTTTCAAATGATCTCCGCATTCCACTGGACAATGAATGTGACATACTCTTGTTTCACTCTGTTGCATCATCCCACCCATCAGGCATATAGAGTGCCCTGATTGGCCCACAAAGCAGATAAAGCTCTGTGATTTGTTCACTAAGCAGATAGAGCACTATGATTGGCCCACCATTATGGACCAATCACAGCTCTTTATGTGTTTGAAACCCCTCTAGAGAGCTGTGATTGGCTAGCCAGAGTACTGGTAGGAGCTGTGGAGGTTCCAGTGGAGCGTGCCTAGACCAAACTTTGCAAAGCAAGAATTTGGTCTAGTTCACTAGGCTAGGTGAAGGAAGAATCCATTCTCTTCAGAGGTGCAGAAAGGATTTCACACACACACACACACACACACACACACACACACACACACACACACACACACACACACACACACACACACACACACACACACACACACACACACACACACACACACACACACACACACACACACACACACACACACACACACACACACACACACACACACCGATTACAAGAGTCTTAACTAGAGCTCAGTCAGTTTGCGTAATTTCATCCAATGGTTTACGTAAAAACTAACACTTTTATATACGCGTTTGAAGCCATTATGCAATGGAACGCTGGCAACAAAGCTCTGCCTGATCAACACTATCCAAATCAGTCATTTGTTATTCTCCCAATCAATTACTAACCAAAACCTCATGCTTTATGCAAAACATTAACTGATTTTCAGTATACCAATCTTTACAGAAAACATAAAAGCCCTAAAAAACTGCACATAAAATATATTTAAAAAACAATATTCACTTATAACTTAGAGTAATGGTTTCCAAACTTTTCAGCCTGACCAACAGATGTTCTTTCGTATTTTTACGTTATTTATAAATTTTCATTATATTTGGAAAGTTTTAATTTATATATAAATGTATAAAACACTTTTTAATTTTATATTTTACTTTTTTTATGATTATGTGGCACACTTAACTTCCATACCTAACGCATCGGCATCTGCCTCTTTTTACAGCTTTTTTTTTTTTTACATTGTCGCTACGTCTGTCACGTTAGCAGTGTTTTTACCGTTGTTTCTACATCCATCACGTCCCAAAGAAGATTAAACAAACATCAAACCCAATGTTTGGAGCTTGTAAGCTCCACACACCTCTCGTGCAGCAGCAGCTGTCTGATGCTGCAGCAGCGTCAATCGTCCCGGCTGGATGAGAGAATTTCTTCATCAGAGTCAATATTCTGCTTCATAATCAGAGTCAGTCATGACCAGACAAAGTGATCAGCCAACAAAGACCAGACCTGACGGCAATTATACGTTTTATCTAATATTTACGCTCTTCATGCTGCGCGCATCTCCTCCTCTCCCCGACTGGTAGCCTCTCAGCGGGAGGCGATTTTCAAACTCTAAAAACTCCCAAACTTTGCTCAGCCTGAAGGTTCCACATCTCCACTATCTTCTGGTGTAAAGTAGTAACTTCATGAGGGATCATATTTGTAGATGAGACTTGTTAAAGTCAGCAATGAGGCTTTGGTGCTTATAACGAGTAAGTCCCAACACTGACAACTGTTGAGGGTCTACCCTCGTGAGGAAATTGCCTGCAGCATTTTCTCCAAAAACTGTGTAATCTGCACTTTGAAAAAGCAGATAAGTTCCAGTGCCAAGAGAGACTTCATTTCCCATGGGTCTTTGCGCCCGGAAGCAGCGTGATGACGTCACCAAAGCGAAGCCGAGAGCACGGGTTCTGTACATGCGCCGAACCACACGGAGACGCTGAGAGTTATAAAACTCAGCACAAAGCAAAACTTCGCTCTCTTTTTGTGCCCAGCTTCAGCTGGTGTTGAGAGACACTCGTTTGCCCACCAGACAGCGTGTGAGGCCTGGCTGCCGAAGTGGATGACGCCGAACTGCGGAGGAGCAGCGTAAAATCACATCTGATCAGCGAACTCCAAGGGACGCCTTGACTTCGCTCAGAGAAGTTTTGCTCCTGCAAGTTTTTTTCTATCCCTTTATCTTCCGACTTCTCTTAGTCCGAACAAGCAATAAAACCGCTCATTGCTTTAAAGTAAAATACGGTTTCTCTTCCGTACCAAGTACGTCATACAGACTATCGAAGTAAGCCGTTTTGTTTTGTTATTGTTAATATCTAAGTTTGTCACGCTGTGGCCAGGCTGGCAGACTGTTGAGATATTTTCATCTGACTTCATGATTGATTTGTTTTTTTCTTGATTTCTGTGAAGCGGGTGTTGGGCTAATTAGGAGCTAGTAATTAGTGAGCTTTTAATTACTTTTGGATTCTTCAATAAATTCTGTAAATATGGGAATATTTACCGATGTTCTAGAATCCTAGGAGCAAAGATTTAACATCGACACAAAGAAGTTTACTGGAGACAAAATCTGAATTTTATAACATTTAATTAAACAAGGAGATTAATAATGCAAAACAATTTGACATAATTGGAGATGTGTGTGTATCAAATCAGACCGTGTGTGTGTGTGTGTGTGTGTGTGTGTGTATGAATGCTTGTCCTCCAGAGCAGGTGTGAGTGTGAGTGGAGGATGTATGAATGGAGTTCTTTGTTTTCCAAGGTGCGCGCGTGCTTGTGAGTGTGTGTGTGTCTGATAAGGCTGGAGGAATGAGCTGTAAGCTGTGAGTGTGTGTGGGTGCAGGAATTAAATCTTAGTGGCTTTAAAATCACAGTAAAACTTAACTTCAACACTTCAAAAGTTAACAAAACAACAAAGGTCACTCGTAAATTATTTAATCTAAAAGAGAAGTCTACCAGCCTGGCCAGAGCTGACGACTAAACCCAGATTAAACAAATAATAAACAAACAGACCTTACTTCACGATAGATATATGACGTGTTTGATTACGGAAGATAGAGAAAAACTGTGGGTATTTTGAAGCAATCGCGCGGTGTAATTGCTTATTGTGGTCTAGAAGAAACGGGAAAGATAAGAGAGGAGGAGAGGAGATAAAATAAAATCAAACTTTTGCGTGAGCGAACCAAAAGGCGTCCCTTTTTTTCTTTCGCGTTGCAGGTCAGATGATTTCTCCGTTGTTTCTCCCCACGAGTGTTTCTCCACGGGCTGGACAGAGAGAGCAAAGTTTCTTTTTGTGCTGAGTTGATGACATACAGCGTCTCTGTGAGCTTGATGGCTTGTGGAGGTGCTTTCCA